TAGTGCAGCTGCCTCCTGGGAGGAAGTAGAAGTCAGTGACTCAGCTCTGGTTAGTAACTGGGCACAGAGCTTGGCATGTGGGGGCTGGGGGACAAGGGGAACACCCTGTAGCACTGGCCGCACCCACAGGCCTGGGGTTGGCCTGGGTGTTCAGCTCTCAGAAGCAGCTGGACAGGCTCAGGGTCTGCATGTTCCTGGACCAAGTTTACTCTCTCATCCCATTGATCCCTTTTCTTTGCTCCCAAATAGCCTCCTTGTTTTGGAGTTACACATTTACCAAGAAAGTGTGGCCTCCTCATGGCTTGCTCACAAAGGGAGCCAGGCCCGTACCTCCCCCATCCACCCAGAACCCTCCCCCAACCTAAGCGTTCTGACAGTGTGAAGTGAGGCATTTGCCTGTGTCCAGGCATGAACAGACCAGCCAGGCTGTCTTTGTTTATGCTGATCTCTATCATAAAAAGCAAATTCCTAGGAGAGTTTGCATACATTCAGGGCTCTGGGTGCCTGAGGTGCCGAATTCATGAAAGGCACTAAAAAAGGGAGCAATGAGGGCAGCAGAGGTAGCAAAGAACAGCTGCACGAATGTGGCCTTCAGTTAATCCAAGGCAAACCCTTGAAGAGGGGTCAGGAGGGCACAGGCTTCCAATTGCTGATTTTATAGCCACTCAGCCCTCAACTGAATTCTGAGTCACCAATCAGGCTGTTAATCCAGGGGCTCCCCATCCTGCCTCCAGCAGCCTAGTCAGTGCCAGTGCCCTGCAGGGGAGAGGGCGGCCCCATGAAGTTTTCAAACCAAAGAAGTAACTCAGCTACAGTAGCCCATTAAAAAAGGGAAACCAGTGGTCCAGTGAAATCATTCTCAACTCTGGCCCGTCCCTCAGTAAACTTCTTGTCAGGACCAAGTGTGGGGCCCCAGCTTGTCTGTGGCTTGAGGATCCAGCTCTCACTTGTGGGAGCTCTGAGATGCAGGAGGTTCCGTTCCTGCGAAGTTCCTGGACCGCCACAGCTTTGGGCATTAAGGTCCCAGCAAAGCATGGTGACCAGGGCAGTCATAGGATGGGGCTTCTATCAGTTGGTCAGTGTGGGCTGGTGGTGGGAGGGGTGGGAGGTGCCCAGTCCTGTCTCCCAGGGGCTTAAGCTCCTCCCACTGCCCCCACATTAGGTGACCAGGGCTTCTTTGGGTGACACTGCTGGGTAGTGGGTCTCTGGTCCAGCTTCTCTTCTGGAAACTTAGACTCTTTTACCATCTACCATCCCTGAGAATTCCCAGGCCCCACCCATCCACGTTCCCCTCAAGTCTTTCCCTTTTCTGGGTCCTCATGCCCCTCTCTAAATCTCTCCCTCTCTTTATGATGACATTCTCCTCCCCTTTCCTGCTACCAGAGATCTCAGGCCACCTTTCCCCCATCACCGTGGTCAGGGGCCTGACTAGCAGGTCTCTCTCTGAGTCTGTGGAGAACCCCGATGTGAGCATCACAGAGGCCCACGCCCCTCCCTGTGGTGTGGGGAGGAGGAAACATTTTCTACTCCTTCCTAGTGAGTCATCTCCCCAGCCTCCACCACCCACCACAGAAATTAAATGGGGTGGGGGGAGTGCTTCTTGAGAGAGAGAGAGAAAGAGAGAACAGAATGTCCGCTTACAATAAAACAAAGACTCAAGCAAATTATAACTAAGATTCAGCAAGTTTGCCAAATATAAGATCAGCCTGCACAAATCAACAGCTTCTCTCCCACCCACAACAGCTACTAGAAAATATTACTAAAAAGAAATCATTCACAGTAGCAGTAAGGATCACAAAATATCTGGGCACTAACACTAAAACTTCGATACAAATTTAAAAATGTAAGATGATCTTGGCACTACACTAAAACTTCGATACAAATTTAAAAATGTAAGATGATCTGAATAAGTAGAGCATCCTCATGTGCTTTTGTACCGGATGACCTAATATAGAATGCCTCATCTTGCATGGCTTTATTAAGACCTAATTGAATTAATGATTAACCTACAGAGGCAGTGCAATTCCATTCAAATTCCAGTTGTATTTCTTTTTGAGGAACTCAATACATCTTTAGGGTAACGTTATTTGTTTTGTTTTGTTTTTGTCTGTTGTACGCAGTTTATTTAACAATATAAGAAATGAGCCAAAACCGGTTTGGCTCGGTGGATAGAGCGTCGGCCTGCGGACTGAAGGGTTTCAGGTTTGATTCCGGTCAAGGGCATGTACCTTGGTTTGCAGGCACATCCCCAGTGGGAGGTGTGCAGGAGGCAACTGGTCGATGTTTCTCTCTCATCGATGTTTCTAACTATCTCTCTCCCTTCCTCTCTGTAAAAAATCAATAAAAATATATTAAAAAAAAAAAGAAATGAGTTGGTACTTTACCATCCTATACAGGGATTGATCTTCTTGAATTTTCTTATTTGTGGTAGTTATAGCGCTTGCATGATTGACACTAGACTTGCTTTTCCTCATTTCAAGTTTCACATAGAAGAATGCTCTTCTCTTAACATTAGCATGGTCTTAAGAGAGTCATCATCCCTATTTTTTGTCTAAAACTAGTTTTATCAGAGAAACAAAGCATCATTTTCTATATCCGCCAAAGAGTTTGGCTTAAGCCAGTACAGATGTGTGGGAGTGTGTGTGTGTGTGTATATGCAGGAGCCAATTCCAATCAACAGAGGTAATACTGGGAGAATGCTCAGAGTTCACAATAGAAAAAATCTGCCCACAACATCAGAAAGTTGTCTGGATAAATTATATGCTTGCATTATTTCAGGAATCAGTTTCTGAATATATTTCTTCTCACTTTATAAACAAATGTTTAAAACCTTAAAAATATAAGTAAAAATATGGATATAATGGACTTGATTTTCCCGTTAAAAAAATGTGTGAATCACCAGCAATGATGACAAAAAATCCAAACAGCACCGCTCTCCCCCAAGAACAAAAAAAATATTGAAAAAGCAAAGAGAGAACATATATTTAAATCAACTGTTTTTTAACAAAAACATACACTTTTTATTGTTTCTTTAAACAGCAATCTACCCTTCTGTGGCTTGGAAGTAGCAGTTCCATCTAGGAATAGAGACTAGCTGCTTGGATTTCAGTACAAATGGTCCAAGAACATGGAACAAAAAATAGTGATTTTCTCACAATGCTACAAAACCTACACAAACTTTTCTAGGGTGTCTACTGTGGTGTCACCGACCAGGGACAGCTCACTGGGCAATGCACTCCTGTGGGGGTGTTCAGCTGTGGTAGCATTGCATGTTTGGGGTTTCCCAAGTGTCCGTGATGATGGGCTGGAACGTGGAGGCTGCAACTGGGGTCTGGAGACGGGACAGGGGCCAGAGATCTCACCTGGCTACTGAGGGATGGCCATCTGCTGGCCGGGGAGGTGAGGCCTGTGGCTCTGAGAGCATGTGCTGCTGGGGCTCATGGGGTTTGTTAGGTCGGTGCTGACAGCAGACTGGCCAAGAGACGTTGTGAGAGTTTTAGAAACTTTATTTTTAATACACACCTGAAGATTTTTTTCAG